GAAAAATCAGTGAAAAACTCTCTACAGGCACAAAGGAAAATGCCTTCAGTTTTTATTGGAGGCGGAGTTCCTCAGGGAAGTGAATCAGGCTCAATCATCTTTGACTGCTTCAATGACATTCCCTACATTCTAATGTGAGTAATGGCGATGCTCCCTGATAACTACACAGTATTCCGTTCATTCACAACAGCTCAGATAGTGCTGCAGTCCATGCCCACAGGCAACAGGACACGGACAACATTCAGGATTGAATTGCATGCTGGGTAGCATTTGCGCCCTACAACAACCGGGCACTGGCCACGTCCGCCCGGTATTCCACCACACCGTCCAGCACTGGATACCCCACCGTCGGCCTCCTGGGACATACATCCATCCATCCATACATGCCTACAAAGCAGGTTACAGACTCGATCCCTGCAGCATGTAATTCACCTGACTCCTAAAAGTCTGTACCACACAAATCAGAAGTGACCTGGAACGCGCTCCTACATACCTGGAAAAGTACAGTTCCAATACTCAAAGCTCACCATCCAGGACCTACGAGCCATTTCACTGGCCCTCCATTCACCATTTTAAACATTCATCTTCCAGCAGCAAACTAATGCTGCAGCATATATCATTTACAAGATGCTCTGCAGCAATGTATCAATGATTTGATAGTAGATCTAAAACCGATGACCTCTACCACCTAGAAAACTAAGGTCACCAGACATGTGGGAATATATTCCACCAAGATCCCTCTAAATCATTCACTACCTGACTTGTAAATACTGATGTTGCTTCATTGCTGTTGGATCAAAATCCTTCAACTCCTTACCCAACAACTCCCAGTCAGTATCTTCATCTCATGGACTACAAGCAGTTCAACACAAAAGCTCACTACCACCTCAAGGACAATTAGTTTGCACAACAAATGCTATCCTTGACAAAACCCACATCCCACAATGGAACAAAATACTAATAATGCCAAACTACTTCATGGCAAAATGCACACACTTCCGCCCACACTCCTGCCCCCCAACCCACCCACAACCAGCACCACTACGACTAAGAATTGAACATAAAATTCCACCAGGGACAATAAAGACAAACTCAGTTGAAATAGCAAAACAAAAATACAACACCAAGACACTAGTGGACAGGTATGTAGCAAATTCAGCTAGCAATAAAAAAAAGACAGTACTATACAATGTTTCTCTGTCTTGACTACGTTCACTGTTTTTATTAAGAAACCCAAGCAAAAGACCAAAGTACAGGATGTGAGAACATCAAAAGTTGAAATTAGCAGATTAGAAGACAACATAAATTAAGAGCTAGCAATAGGAAGTGGTAAAAATGAAACTAAATATTAAGTTGAAATCAACAAAATTTTTTCACTTTTTCTGAAAAGGATTAAGAGACAGATTTCAACAGGATTAGAATACAAGAGCAGGAGATGTATTGTTAAGGCTGTATATGGCTCTGGTCAGACTGCATTTGGAATACCATGAGGAATTTTGGGTCCCATATCTAAGGAAGGATTTGCTGGCCTTGGAGGAGGACTGCAAGAACAGTCCCAAGGAAGAAGGACTTGTCATGTAAGGAATGGTTGAGGACTCTAAATTATACGTGATGGAATTTAGAAGGATGAGAGGGAATCTCAAAGAAACTTACAGAATACTGAGAGATCTGGATAGAGTGGAGATGATGTGTCCAATAGTAGGAGAGATGAGGACCTGAAGACACTGTCTCAAAGTGACTCTTTAGAACTGAGATGAGAAGGAATTTCTCCAGCCCAAGGGTAGTAAATCTGTGGAACTCTGCCACAGAAGGCTGCGGAGGCCAAGTCATTGAGTGCAATTAAACAAAGATAGGCAGGTTCTTGAACTTCAAGGGATCAAGGTTACAGGGAGAAGGCAAGAGAAAGAGGTTGAGAAACATCAGCCATAACTCACAAGCAGAGCAGACTTGATGAGACAATTGCGCTAAATCTGCTCCTATATCTTATGCTCTTAAGATCTCTACTGGTCACAAACATAATTTGCAAGTGTATATCAAATAATAGAACACAGAAATTGATCTAACACTCCTGTTCAAAGACAGGACATTGGCTTCTTCCTAAGATTTTTCAGGGCTGCAGGCACAACTCATGAGGCCAGCATTTGTTCCTAAACTCTTAGTGCCTTTGAGAAGGAAGTGCTAGTGACACCACCTTCTTGAACTGTTGTGTGGGGTATGGACATCCACAATGCTGTCAGTCAGGTTCTTCCAGGCTTCTGGCACAAGGGCACATTTGTTCCAAGTCAAGATAGTGTGTGGCTTAGAAGGAAACTTCGAGTATTACATACAAACTGCAGTACAAAAGCTCACTGATAGGATCTGTTTCTATACTGTATGACTCTTTGGTCCAAATATTCCACGCTAACCATGCTCCCAAACTAAACTAGCCCCACTTGCCTGTGTTTGGCCCCTATCCTTCCAAACCTTTCCTATTCATGTACTTATTTGGATTTTTTTTTTTTAAAAAACATTGTACTTGTACTTGCATCCAGCACTTCCTCTGGAAGTTTGTTTCACACAGGAACCACTATGTAACAAAAAAAAATTCCCCCTCATGTCCTCGTTAAAAACGGTTCTTCTGACACTTTAAAAATACGCCCCTAGTTTTGAACTCCGCCACCCTGGGGCGGGTGGGGAAGACCCTTCCTATACAATTTAGGTATGCCCCTCATTATTTTATAAACTTCTTTAAGGTCACCCCTCAGCCTCTTACACTTCAGTGAAAAAAGGTCCCAGCCTATTATTTATAACTCAAACTCTTCATTCTCAGTAACATTCTAGTAAGTCTTTTCTGAACCCTCCAGTTTAAAAATATCCTTCCTATAACAGCGAGACCAGAACTGCACACAGTATTTCGGAAGAAGCCTCACCAACATCTTGTACAACCTCAACATGATTCCCCCCCACCCTCACTCCTGTACTCAAAGGTCTGAAAACAAAGACAAGCATGCTAAAACCTTCTTGACCAGCCTGTCTACCTGTGGCACAAATTTCAAATAATTACGTACCTAACCCCTCAGTCTCTCTGAAGTACAACATATCCAGGGCCCTACCATTAATCTTGTCATTATTTGTTTCACCAAAATACAACATCTCACATTTATTCCAAACTAAACTCCATCTGCCACTACTCAGCCAATTAACCACTGATCAAGATTTCTTTGAAATCTTCTTCACAGTCCACTACACTACCAATTTTGGTGTCATCCACAAACTTACTAACCATGCCTCCTATATTCTCATTCATATTGTTTACATAAAATGACAAACAAAAGCGGAGAGAGTACTGATCCCTGTGACACACCACTGGTCACAGGCCTCCAGTCTGAAAAACAATCTTCCACCACCATCCTCTGTCTCTAACCGTCAAGCCAATTTTGCATCCAATTGGCAAGCTCACCCTGAATCCCACATGATCATCTTTACTAAGAATGTTGTGGCAAGTAAGGGAGGAAATTACAAGACCCCTCGCAGAAATATTTGCATTATCTACAACTGCAGGTGAGGTGCCTGATGACTGGAGGCTAGCTAATGTTGTTCCTTTGTTTAAGAAAGGTTGTAACGAGAAACCAGGGAACTATTGACCTGTGAGTCTGACTTCAGTTGTGAGTAAATTGTTGGAGATGATTATAAAAGGATTTATGGACATTTAGAGAGGCAACAATTGATCAGGGATAGTCAGCATGGTTTTTGTGCAAAGGAAATCATGCCTCAAGTTTTTTTTTTGAGTTTAAGGAAGTTACCAAGAAGGTTGACGATGGCAGAGCAGTAGATGTTTTTTATTTAGATTTTAGTAAAGCCTTTGACAAGGTTCTGCATGGTAGACTAATTAGTAAAGTTAGGTCACATGGGATTCAGGGTGAACTTGCCAATTGGATACATAATTGGTTTAGTGGCAGGAGACAAAGTGGTGTAGAGTTGCTTTTCATAGTGGAGGCCTCTGCCCAGCAGTGTTCCACAGGATAACAAGGTGTAGAGCTGGATGAACACAATAGGCCAAGCAGCATCGTAGGAGCAGGAAGGCTGACGTTTCGGGGCTAGACCCTTCTTCAGAAAATGTTCCACAAGGATCAATTCTGGCGCCTCTTTTGTTTGCGCGAAGTAATTATTCAGTTCCTCAGCCATTTCTTGTTCCCCACTACCATCTCTCCACTGTCATTTTCCAGTGGTCCAATGTCCACTTTTGCCTCTCTTTTACCCTTTAAACACAGAGTGGTTCATGTGTGGAATGAACTTCCTGATGAAGTGGTCGATGCAGGTACAATTACAGCGTTTGAAAATATTTAGATGGATATATGACTAGGAAACCTTTGGAGGGATATGGGCCAGGAGCAGGCAAGTAAGACTAGTTTAATTTTGGATTATGTTCGGTATGGACTGGTTGGACCGAAGGGTCTGTTTCCGTACTGTATGACTATGGTTTGACGACAACGCAGAACCTTGTCAAAATCTTTCCTGAAGTTATGCTAGAAGTACTGAAAAGTTCAGTCGCATTCACAAGACGTTACAATAGTAGAAAATCACTCCCTCATACAGAGAGAAGAACGGGGAAGGAATATTACAATTACAGTACAGGACATACCCTGGAAAGTGGAACTTTCAAAACTCCAAACAAGGACTAGAGAGGGGCTTTGCCCCAGCGTCAGCTCACTCACCAAATGGATCTCAACAATATTGTTTGAGGTTTGGGGGGAGCGGTGGGCGAAGAGACTAAAACCGCCCACCGTAAGGAGGAACAGAAAGAGGGAGGGACGCAGTGAATCAAACCGCACTTGCGCTGCCTCGCGGGGGACCCTGGGAGTTGTAGTTCGCGTCTCGCGCCAGTTATGACAAAGGCGCAGCGTCCAAACTACAATCCCCACAATGCATGCGCAACTAACTTCCCCGATCCGCCGGAGGAACCGAATGATTTTAATTCTGCCCGTGACCACCCCTCCTCCAAAAAAATTTCACCGTCTCACCTTCTTTACGGGCTTATGCGATGCGACAGCACCGCCGTCGTTGTTAAAGACGACCAGAGAAGGTTCTTTCGGCGCTGCCGCCTTGTTGAGCGGGTTACTCTCGCTGCTCTGCGCTCGCTCGGCGTTGGCGTTCTCCTTCACCTCCTTGGCCTTCAGAGCCTCCCTCACGTCCTTGGTCTCCACCGGCTCGGGGGCTCCTTTCTTCAGCAGTTCGGCCATCGTCGTCTCTCCCGGTTCCCCTAGCTAAGCACCACAACTCAGATGCTGACTTTCCACCTCCGTTTGACTCGAGTGCGGGCTGGCGCAGCGACGAAGGGGACAGTCTGGAGTGTTGACGTTAGAGGACGGCCCGCCCCCACCTTTTCCCGTACGTGTCCCGCCCCCTTCCGTACGTGACACGCCCGCTCCAGTACGTGCCCCGCCCACTATTTCCCGCACCCTTCCGTACGTGCCCCGCCCCCATCGGTACGTGACCCGCCCCTTTGCCCGTGCCTGCCCCGCCCCTCTCGCGTGTTTTCTCTTCCCCCACCCCCCCACCTCAGAAGTTGACCATTCAGCCCTTCCCTAAGAGCCTGTTCAATATGACCATGGCTGATCCTCCAACTTCAGTACCCTGATCTCACTTATGAAATAACTCCACAGAGGCCAGTATCCCGTCACCAACTCACCTTTTATTTAGGGGTCAGAGATCAGACGACACCAGGTTATAGACCAACGGGTTTATTTGAAATCACAAGCTTTCGGAGCATGGCCCCTTCATCAGATGAAACGACTACACTCCAAAAGCTTGTGATTTCAAATAAACCTGTTGGACTATAACCTGGTGTCAAAAACGGAAGTTGCTGGAAGAGCTCAGCAGGTCTGGCAGTATCTGTGAAGAAAAACAAATCAGAGTTAACGTTTCGGGTCCAGTGATCCTTCCTCAGAATTGCTCTACACATGTAAATAAAAGATGATGCGGAGGTGCCGGTGTTTAACCGAGGTGTACAAAGTCAGAAATCAGATGCTGTTGTTCTCGATACGGTCTCCTCTATATGGGGGAGACCAAATGCAAACTAGGGGACTGGTTCGCTGAGCATCTGCACTCTGCACACATCAATCAACGTGAACTTCCAATTGCCACCATTTTAACTCCCCCTCCCACTGCTGTTCTGTGGAAGGGTCACCGGACCCAAAACATTAACTCTGATTTTTTTCTTCACAGATGCTGCCAGACCTGCTGAGCGTTTCCAGCAACTTCTGTTTTTTTGTTCCTGATTTACAGCATCCGCAGTTCTTTCAGTTCTTATAACCTGGTGTCGCCTGATTTCTGAGTCAATAAACGTGGAGCTGGACAAACACAGCAGGTCAGACAGCATCAGAGGAGCAGGAGAGTCAATGTTTCGGGCTGAAACCTTCGTCAAGACTGGGGTGGGTGAGGGGAGCCCAGAAATAAATAGAGGGACGGGCATGGGGCTGGGGGAGGGTGGGTAAGATGGAGATAGGAGAGTGCAGGTAGGGAGTTATTGTGCTTGGTCAGTGGGAAGGATGAAGCGGATAGGTAAGAAGGAGAATGGACAGGTTAGGACATGTCAGGGAGTTGGGACATGGGATAAGGCTGGGGGTGGAGGGATTTTGAAGCTGGTGAAGTCAATATTCATGCCCTTAGCCTGTAAGCTCCCAAGGTGAAATTTCAGGTGTTGTTCCTCCAGTTTACATTTGGCCTCACTCTGACACTGGAGAACTCCAAGGATGGACATGTCACCAGAGGAGTGGGAGGGGGAGTTGAAATGGATGGCAACCGGAAGGTCACGTTGGTTGATGCATGCAGAGTGCAGATGCTCCGCAAACCGGTCCCCTAGTCTGCATTTGGTCTCCCCCATATAAAGGAGACCACATCAGGAGCAACGGCATCTGATTTCTGACCTTGTACATCCCAGTCCAACACTGGCACCTCCACATCATCTTTTGTGTCCGCGTGGAGAGCACTTGACGCTGATCCAGCTCCCTCAGAGCAAGTTCTCAGAGTGAACAGGATGTCTGACATTCCTTTTTATATCCATCAGCCAGGGCTCCCTGATTGGGGCTGTTAATCTGGTCCAAACAGGGAACTCATTCTATGAGGTCCACCTGGCTAACCTTGTTATACTCAGTACATCACTACCCCCACTGAGTACAAGGACATAGGCCGGTTCTTTTTTACGTAGCTCCTCCGGAGGCATTTTAGCACTGAATCAGGTTCTTCCAACTCTGTGCTATGGGCGATGTGTAACACACAGTATGTATGTGTGGGTATGTAATACACCTCTTATGTCCGGAGCATCTCGGAAGAAATTAATTCTCCTCTTCAGGCAGCAAAGGCGTCAAGACAGCAACATCTGCTGCGTCCGCCTTTAACACTTGATGGGGAGGGAGAAGCCAACGGTTCCAGAACAATTGGAAAGGGAGTCGAGGAGCCAGGCACGTTTTGCTCTCGCACCATTTGTGAGTTTTCAGCTTTTACATGATCCACATGCTTGTTCAGGACTGTTAAACCTACCCAAACTTTATACGTCACCGAACCTGACCTTCTTACCCATGCAGGGCCACTCCTATGGCTCCTACACCAAACTTCGTCCCTTGAAGTGAACTGTCTCTCTCACTTAGCAGAGCCCTGTGTCCGACATTGGCATTCTTGATGCCAATTCACCCTCCCCCCAGGATGTGGGACGATCAGATTTAACCTGTTGCAGAGCCTTTTCCCCATTAACAAATCCCCTGTAGTTGCATGAGAGGTGGTCCTATTATCAAATGGGAACTGGGACAATTTGATATCTAGTGAAATTGTAGGCTATTTGTTTAAGCGTACCTTCAAAGTTTGGACTGCTTTTTCTTCCAAACCATTGGATGATGCATGGTATGGAGCTGTCCTAATATGATGAATACTATTTGACTTTTGGAAATTTCCTGCTGGTAAGCAATGGCCTGTTATCTGTGATCAAAACTTCCAGCAATCCGTGTTTTGCAAAAAAGGCATACAGCTTTTCTATCGTCATTCCCGTGTTTGATGAATGAATTCTATGCACGTCCAGCCACTTTGAGTGAGTGTCCAAAATGACTGAGAACATTAAGCCCATGAAAGGACCTGAATAGCCGACGTGTGTCTGGTCCCAGGGTTTACCCGACCATTCCTATAAAGGTGGTGGAGCTGCTGGTGGTAATGTTTGTCCTCACTGGCACTGTGGGCACCGCCCAACAAATGCAGCTATGTCTGTATCTAATCCTGGCCACAAGACAAAACCTGTCGCCAACATCTTAATTTTGGAAACCCCTGGATGACGCTGCTGGAATTCAGCCAGTATGTGATGGCAATCTTTACCTGAGACAATCATTCTTACTCCCCATAATAATATGCTGTCCACTACTGTGCTCTGGCCTCTCCGGGTTCAAAATCGTTTCAGTTCTGATTGTGATGACCTCTTGGTTTCCCCCATCCCCACCAGCTGTTTCAGTTATGCCAGGACAAGATCTTGCAGCATCCAAAGACTGATATTGTCAGTGGTGACAGGAAGGGTGTCCATGAAGATCTAAGACTATTATGGCCTCTTTCAGTAGCAGTACCATTAGCGGTGTATCAGCCAGCGGGAGGTAGCTCGATGCATCTGCATTTGCTACTTGCTCCCAGACAGTCTTCCAACTTGTATTTATATGCACTTGGTATCAGAGCCCACTGCTGAATTCAGCCTGAAGCTATGTGAGGCTCTGCCTTGTCTTCTTTAAGTCGACCTAGCAGGGGTTTGTGGTCTGTTATTATTAAAAATTTACATATGTAAAGGTATTGATGGAACTTCCTAACTCCAAATATGACTGCCAAACCTTCCTTCTCCATCTGGGTGTTCCTCTCCATTGGGCCACCAATGAGCTAATACTACCACAATGCTGTGCAGAGAGGCATCACATGTCAATACCAGCTTTCGCTTGGGATCATAGTGTGCCAACACCTTAGAGGCTGATAGCTGTTTCTTCACTTCCCTGAAAGCTATGGCTTTGCTACATGATCATTTTCAATGCTGGCCCTCTAAGAGTTGATGCAAAAGGTGCCGGAATGGAGGCCATGTTACGTATTGATTGTCCACAATAGTTCACCAGCCCAAGGAAAGACCTAAGCTCCGGTAGATTTGGGAGCCAAGGTACCTTTGATGGTTGTCACTTTATCTTACAATGGTTATAACCCAGTCTTGTAAACTCTGTAGCCCAAATAGTTCACTTGGGGTGTCTGGAACATATATTTTTCCCTTCTAAAGCATATGTCCACCTGGGAGAAACATCTAAGGACTCTATCCATGTTCTCAAAGTGCTCCTTATTGGTCTTCCCAGTTATCAGCAGGTCATCTAAATAAATGGCAAACTGGGGTAGACCTTGTAAAACGTTCTCCATCATCCGTTGAAAAATTGCACAGGCTGATGATACCCCAATTGGCAGTCTCGTATCTTGGTACAAACCCTAATGGGTATTACTTGTAGCGTACTGCTGGGAATCCTCATCTAACCGCAATTGGTCATGACCAGCTTCATGAAGGACAGTCCCCCTGCCAGCTTTGTGTATAAATCCTCAATGCGAGGGATTGGGTATTTATCCAGCAGCAAAAAGTGGCTTATCATTTGTTTAAAATTCCCACAAAGACGAACCGACCCATCAGGCTTGACAATAAGTACAACCAGTGCTATCCATTGTGCAAACTGGGCTGGTTTGATGATTCCTTCACTTGGCAGCTTCTGATTTCTGCCTCTACTTTTACCCATAAGGCAAATGGCACTGGGTGGGCCTTGCAGAATCGTGGAATTGCTTCGTGGTCAACATGCAAGCTGGCCTTGGCCCCTTTGATAGTCCCTAGACCTTCCTGAAAAACTTTTGGGTATTTAATTACATCTTCACTCAGGCAGCCATTTTCTAATCAAAAAAAAATGTTGAGCCAATCTAGGTGAATATTTTTCAACCAATTTTGCCCCATCGAGCTTGCCCCAAGCTTCTTACTGCAATCAGCGGTAACTGAACCAGCTGCTTCTCATAGGAGAATGGAACCAAAGTTGTATACTTAATCTGTAAAGGTTCCCTAGTACAGATTCTTAGTCTAGACGAGATCTTGTGCAAACCTAGTGATTGAAGTCCAGAACGAATTTTGTTAAGGACTGCTTCTGCGATCATCGAAATGGCCACGCCAGTATTGACCTCCATTAGAACCAGCTGATCATTTAACTAGATGTTTATTTGGATTGGTTCTGATTTGGATTTTGCTAAGCGATTTAACTGTTCCAAACCGGATGGAGGTGGACATTCCAGGGTTTGTACTCTCCTGGATACTGGCCTGTTCAGCCATTCTCTTCCTCCATTTAGGTCTAGTCGGATTC